CAATCCTTTTGTTCAATTCAACAGAGTAAAACAACAATGTTTATCATCACAAATACCAATGCTGTCATTTAATTTTTAATTAAAGACTAGAAAATGACGATAATTGAGTGTTTTAAATGAATTGGGAGATTAGGTGTTTTTTTGAGAATCTTATTACCGGTAATGTGTTTGTCTTTTTCATTTTAAGAAATATACACTTTAAAACGTGATGTTCCATTGTGACGCGGCGACACCCCCTATGCTCTATATTTTAAACTTTTATAAAACTAATTCAAATAATCATTATTAAATTTAAATTTCAGTGATAAATAGATTATATTTGTGCATCTTTTGGTATATTGCATTTGATAATATGACGCCAAATTTAAAATATTAGGACACCGTGACATTACTTTTGGATCAACGCTCGTACGATCTCTAAAACGGTAACCGTTTTGTATTAACTAAAGATAACTAAATTAATATCAAAATACATCTGACAATTTTTAAAAAGGCAAACATTTGGAAAAACACAAAATATGTAGTACTTTACCAGAAAAAATATCTTTCGTCTGCTTTACATCCATTGTAACGTGAAAAGATATACAACAAGAGGCCTATGGGCCACATCGCTAACTTGCGCACTTAGGTTAGGAAAAAGGAAGAAAATGGCTTTTTATTACAAAGTTTAAATCCGAAAGTTAGTCCCATGACCAATCATGGATTTGCTTTTTTTATAAAATGATTTTAAAGAATTTTCCGATTATATCTTTAAAAACTTTGGTCGGCCATTTTGGCCCCGCCCTATCCCTTGGGGTCATGATTTGAACAAATTTGAATCTACACTACTTGAGCATGCTTCCATATAAATATGATGAATTATGGCTTTGTCATTCTTGAGAAGAAGATTTTTAAAGAATGTTCCTATATATTTGTATGTAAGACTTTGGTCGGCCATTTTGGCTACGTCCTACCTCTGGGGGTATTGATTTGAATACACTTGAATCTACACTACCTGAGGATGTTTACCCATAATTTTCATCTTTCCTGGCACAGTGATTCTTGAGATGATTTTTAGAATATGCCTCCAAATTTTCATTCATTCCCAATTATCTCCCTTTGAATGAGGGCGTGGCCCTTCATTTGAACAAACTTGAATTCGCTTCACCCAAGGATACTTTGTGGCAAGTTTTGTTGAAATTGGCCCAGCGGCTTTTGAGAAGAAGTCGAAAATGTTGAAAAGTCTACAGACAGATGGACAGACGGACGCCGGACAAAGTGTGATTAGAAAAGCTCACTTGAGCCTTCGGCTCAGGTGAGCTAACAATTGATACCAAATTTACAGTTTTATCTGTAATCAAGGATGCAGTTTACTCAAAATTTTGACCAAACTTGGTACAAAGCATCCTTGGGTAAAGGGGAATTTAAATTGTTAAAATGAAGGGCCAAGTCACCTCACAAGGGGAGATAATCAAGAAAAGACAAAAATAGGGTGGGGACATTACAAAAAAAATTCTTCTCAAGAACCACTAAGCAGAAAAGCATAAGATTTTTTGAAAGCATCCTGGGATAGTGTAGATTGTAGAAATCATGACCCCTTGGAGCAGAATGGGGAATCAATGGTTTACATAGAAATTTATCGGAAGAATCTTTGAAAATCTTCTTTTCAAGAACCACTGGCCAAGAAAAGCTTAAACTTATGTGGAAGCATCCTAGGGTAGAGTAAATTCTAAATTGTTCAAATCATGATCCCCGGGGAAAGGGCCACAGTGGGAAATCAAAGTTTTACATCGAAAAAAAAATAGGAAAAAACTTGGAAAATCTTCTTCTCAAGAACCACTTGGCCAGAAAAGCTTAAACTTATGTGGAAGCATCTTGGGTAGTTTAAATTATAAATTGAACAAATCATGACCCCCTGGGGTTAGGCGGGGCCAGAATATGGAATCAAAGTTTTACAAAGATATATATAGGAAAAATCTTTAAAAATCAAAGGTTTACAAAGAAATACAGTCAAACTTGTCTCAGCGGCCACCCCCGATGATTTTTACTATATATTTAACTGGAATAAACGGCCACCTGTGTAACGCGGCCAGCAGCCACTCAAATCCTCCCCCAACAGACTGATTGGCACTGTAAAAGAAATTTTTTCCAACAATAGCATCAACAGTAAGCTTTAACTGCTTAGAAAAATCTAGAGTTGACAGAACTGGGTTGTTCATAAGGACAGATTTGATTTTATGAAATGATTTTTCACAGTCCTTTGTCCATTCAAAGTTAATCCTCTTTTGTAAAAGATTTGTAAGTGGACTTACAACTGAGGAAAAATTTGGACAAAATTTTCTGTAAAACCCAGCCATGCCCAAAAATCTCATTAACTCTTTCTTGTTTGTAGGTATCAGGAAATTTGTAATAGCATTTTTAGCCACACCTTGACCTACTTTATGACCTAAATACTCTACATAGGCATGACAAAAAGATAAGGTTCACAGTTAAGTTTGCTTTTGTTAATATGTCAAATAAAGCACTCAAAAAGATGTTCGTCCCATGTGTCGCTGTATATGATGACATCAACAAATCATCTCGAGGTCTTGAAGAAGGGAGTGAATCATTTTTGGAATGTAGCCGGTGCGTTTTCATGCCAAAAGGCATTACTTTTTTAAACATCTGGTGTAGCAAAAGCAGATATTTCTTTTGCTTTTTTTTAGGTACTTGCCAGTAGCCTTTCAACAGGTCAAATTTACTGACAAATTTCGCGTTTCCAATGTTGTCAATACAGTCATCGATTCTAGGTATAGGATATGAATCAGTTTTGGTAACATAATTTTTATCAAGTTACATAATTATAACATTTTCCAGAATACATGGTATATTACTTTTACTAGGTTCAACAATGTCATTGTCCAACATATACTGCACTTCCCTTCCTAGGTACTGCAATTTTATTGGTACGGATGTTGTTTGATAGGCAGGGCGTCGCCGACTATAACATCATGAAAAGCTGCATTAGTTTTCTTTGGAACATCCGAGAAGATTTGATGATACATGTATATATTTTTTAACTTGTTCTTTTTGGTGAATGTTCAAATGTCCAAGTTTGGCATCAAAATCAGCTAAAATTTCTGAGTTTTTCAAGCGGACACTCTGATTACAATCTTTCTCAGAAATTTCTACACTCGTATCACTTTCAATACAATTTTGAACAGAGACTTGGCTAAAGTGGAAACTGGTTTTACAGAATTTCGTTCACACCTTTCAAAATACTCTTTTAACATGTTAATGTGACAAACCCGTTTCTCATATATGTCTTAACTACATAGTTTACATCACTGATCTTTCTTTCAATTTCATTAGGGCCATAAAATCTGGCCTGTAAAGGATGAGCAGGAATAGGTAAAAACACAAGAACCTTATCACCTGGTTTAAAAACCCTATTTCTGGCATCTTTGTCATACCACATTTTCATTTTCATCTGAGAACTCTTCAAATTTTCTTGTGCTAATTTACAAGCATTGTAAAGTTTTTCTTTGAAATCAGACACATAATCTAAAAGATTAAGATCACTAGTCTCAGTCAGCCACTTCAACTTGGGATTGCTAACTCCTAGAGACAGATTTTTTTTATCCCACTTAAAACGTATTCCAAGCTTTTAAATCGTGTTTGTTCTCAGTAGAATTGTCATATATATTATTTTATTCATAAATGCGCGTAAAGTTTACAAAAAGTTTGTTCTAAAAAATCTTTTGAGCAAAAAACTTTAAAACCACGGGTTTTATTTATTCTCTCATGGGTTTGTCTAAATGCTGTTATCTGATTTGTCAGAGGGATTAGTGCCTTGTTTATTCTGTGTATTAACAGCAACTTTCGGTTATCGTTCTTGACTTCCATATTTAGAAATCGTCCAGACCTGTTTAACTAATATGTAGGAACAGAAACATGCACAAAACCTTAAACATTTCAAATTCTTTAACATTCTCTTTAAATGAGCTTTAATTATTATATACACACAAACAAAGCTTATGTGAAATTGAACTGTTTAATTATGATTAATTAATTAATCTACAGTGCTAAATGTTGTTTATTTATCGACCAAATGTCCTTTTTCGAGTGCAAACTGGAATAAGATTCCATCTGTCTTAGGTAACCAGTTTTCAGACTTCCCAAAGGTAGCCTCTTAAAACAAGTTTGACTGTATATAGGAAAAATCTTTAAAAATCTTCTCAAGAACAACTAGGGCAGAAAGTTGAAACTTATATGGAAGTATTCAGGGGTAGTGCATATTCTAAATAGTTCAAATCATGACCCCCTGGGGTTGGGCGGGGCCACAAGGGAAATAAAAAATTTTACATAGAAATATACAGAAAAATCTTAATATTTTTTACTCAAGAACCAATGGTCTATAAAAGCTAAAACTTAAGTGGAAGCATCCTGAGGTAGTGTAGATTCTAAATTCTTTCAATCATGACCTTGGGTGATAGGGCAGGGCCACAATGGGGAATCGAAGATTACATAAACATAAATAGGAAAAATCATTAAAATCTGCTACTCAAGAACCACTGGGCCAGAAAAGCAGAATCTTATGTGAAAGCATAATGGGATAGTGTAGATTCTTAACTGTCCAAATCATGACCCAAAGAGTAAGGCTGGGCCACAATGGGGAATCAAAGTTTTACATAGAAATATATAGGAAAACTTCTGAAGAACGACTGGGCCAGAAAAGTGAAGATTTCAAATTGTCTAAATTATCATCAGTGGGATGGGGTGGGGTCACAATATGTATTACAAGGGGCAAATCTGTTAAAACTGTTAAAACTGTTAAAAGACATAATGATCAAAGCTCCTCAGGAGAGCGATGTGGCCCATGGGCCCATGGGCCTCTTGTATAATGTACAAATTGTACTGCTGAAATACCAGTAATTCCAGATTTTTCAAACATCAACACATAATATAGTATTACAGTTTTATAATCATGGTACACAATCAGTATAAAAATATCTTCATGCTAACATTGTTTCCTTCTTCAGGAAATAGAGAAGTATTTTAGGGAGTTTTGGAAAGCTGTACCAGAGGAGGACAGAGATTGGTTAAGTGAGTCTCTGAATGATCGGGAATATGCTGTAGGTCTGAAGACACTTAATGATAATACCAAGGAAATACTAGAGTCAATGAAAAAGTCCATAGTGGAACTATTCACAGATGAAAACAATACAAAAGTTGAATTGCCTTCTTCGTGGGCTCTAATGGAGCAGTTATTGTATGAAGGAGGCTGGAAGGTTTTGTCTCTGAGTGAAATCTGGAAGCTCAACTCATCTCTTCCTTATGAATACCAAATCAAAGGTGATGAAGAAATGACCAAATTTTTAAAATGTTTCCATGACAGTGGCCTTCTTCTGAATTTTGAAGAAGTGGAATTGAAGGAACATGTTATACTAGATATTCAGTGGTTTGCTAATGCTTTCAGCAAGATAATTGCTGATGAAAACCACATCAATAAAGATTGTCAAAGGAAATTAATAAGAGAATGGAAATCCTTTAACAAAACGGGGGAACTCAAAGATAAAGTGATAAATGCTTTGTGGAAAGATGAACCTTTATACTTGACACATAAAAGTGAAATTATGCCGTACATGGAGAAACTTCAAATGCTTGTACATTTGAATGCAGATGAAGCTGTATCAGAAGATGGCATGTCATGGTATGTCCCATGTATGAACAAAAAGCAGTTCAAAGCTGACTTCTGTGAAGATAAATGGGAATGCTCATCCATTTTGTGCTATCGATTCACTTCCTTTGCCATGTTTGTGTTCTACAGACTGGTAGCATACTGCATAAGTTCTCTAAGATGGAGTGTTGCAAAAGATGAAGATCATGAAGGATGTCCATGTCTTTATCAAACGGCAGCAGTGTTTGATCACAATGAACACACTGTTGTTGTTGGCATATGTAATGACGATATTCAATTTCAAGTGTACAGAATCAAACCATTGACAGTAGACAAAGGAGTATCAAACGAAATTGGGGGCTCCATTGAAAAAGCCATAGAAAAATTGACAGAAACATTTATTGACACAAAAATATTCCACAAAGGATACAAATGTCAATTTGTTATTTGTAATGAGAAAGATTTATCTTTTACCCTAGCAAGTGAGCTCTCCGCAATAAAGGCTAAAGAAATTCAGTGCAAGTGTCAACTTCGAGAGAAACATGTGATAAATGTAGAAACCACTCTACGATTCTGGGAAAAGGTAACTATATTTAATCTTTATCCCCCCCCCCCGGCAAACAAAAAATTAAAGGGTATTTTGGAATCCTGTCCATCTGTCTGTCTGTTGGTATATCTAAATATTTATTTTCAGCATATAATGTAAAAAAAAATATGCCAATTACAAAAAAAAAATGAAATGACAATAGAAGTCAATACTTTACAATAAGACTGCTTACAGGTGTGCCTTGATTTTAAAGCAAGATCATCTGTCAAAGTTAAAATCACTTTCAGAAAAATGCTTATGACCCGAGGGTGTGTTATGATTTGGACTTACTTTAAGTCATTTGCACATTAACATAAAAAACATACATTCATGTCCATGATTTTTAATGTAGAAATACTATAAGATATACTTCATCAGGTTGGAGGGAAACGTAAATTCCGCTATAGTATTGGTATATCACTGTTCAGTGTATAGTGAGATTTCGCTACATTTTCAGCCTTATCTGTCCTCAGTTTCATAGGAAAACATGTCTGTTGTTTGGATAAAAAAATGCACACCAATTGAAAACCTTACATTTCAGGAATTCCATGAGATTTTCTGTTGATACCTAAATTAATTGTTACATGAAGTATGATACTAATTCATGAATAATTTATGATACATTTTCAGCAAACAAGAAATCCACAAATTCCAACGACAGTTTCCAAAAAAGTGTGTTTTAAAATAAGTGAAAAAAGACACCACGCAGTATGACACAACTACTTCATATTGATATTCATGTACATATTATATTGGAAAAGGAGAGCAATGACAGTCTAGCATTAAACTTTTAAATATGTATTATTATAAACCTGATGAACTCGCAGTCAACTTCCCTAATTTTTATATCTCATACTTAATACAATACGCAAGAGCATATTCTTTGTACAAACAATTCTTCTGAAGAAGAAGTTGATGAATTAAGAGCATGTCTACTATGTTGCTTGAATCAACACATCACAAACTCCGTATGACTTTATGAAATTTTGAAAATAACTGTGCATTGTCTCATGGTATCGATATCAAGGTTTTACAGAATCTGAGTGAAATATGATTCTGTTCAAATAATTCTTTTATTTCACCTTAGTCCTAATGTTGGAAATTAATATAATGTCACCAACTTGATGAAATGTACTGGTAGATTAAAATCTTTTTCATCATTTTTACCCTTCTTTGGTCTCAAAGTTGACCCTTTGAGATAGTCACCATGGAATTTAAAAACAATGCCAAACTCTTCTTGCATTTGGTTTAGCTTTAATTAATATATGTGGAATAATATGTATGAATTTTGATCTTTATTAATTATTATTATGTATTTTAGCTAAGTTTGGTTCACTTTTCCTATTTTTGTTTTAGAGAGAGACCAGTGATTCCAGTACTCCTGTGGCCTCTGGACAAAACCTAGAAGGCCGGTCTAGATTTGCAAAACTTGGCATGGCTACAAACGATGTGTTGAATAAGACATACAGAGATATTCTTGAATCAGAAGTTCCTCCCTGCTATATTGAGAGCAAGGTGAATTCATTATCAACAAAAAAGAGAAGAGATCTGAAGTTGAACCCAGACCAAGAAGATCTATTGAAAACAGCTAAGAATTCTGGATATAAGGACTTTGATATTTCATTTACTTACAAGATGATACGAAACATTTGTTTAACTATCCCTAAACCAACAAAAGGAGAATGGGGAAAAGAGCCGGCAGTAGGAGAGGTGACTGTGGGTGACGATATTGAGAGAATTAGGTCAATACGAAATAGATTGACTGCGCATGTGAGTTCAGCCTCCATCTCTCAGACAGAATTCGATGACACCTGGTCAATGATGTCAGATATCTGCCAAAGACTGGAAACCTTCACTGGAAAGACGTACCTCGAAAAACTTAATGAGATTAAAAACCTAACCTTGAGAAAGGAAGATAACGATGAGATTATAAAAAATGTCGCTAAAATGCAAGAAATTCTGGACACAATCAAGTCAACTCTTAAATAATAAGAAACAATGATGAGCCTAATGAAGTTGTTACAAATTGAGAGTTTATAGAATGCTCTGTAGAAGACTAAGATTTATGTGTACAAATGTTGTGTTAAATAAAGCATACAGAGATATTCTAGAATCAGGAATTCCCGCATCTGATATTGAGAACAAGGTGAATTTATTATCAAACAAAAATAGAAGAGATCTGAAGTTTAATCCGGACCAAGAAGATCTTCTGAAAAAAGCTAAGAATGCTGGATATGAGGAATTTGATATTTCATTAACATACAAGATGATAAGAATCATTTGTTTAATTATCCCAAAACCAACAAAAGGAGGATGGGGAAAAGAGCCGGCAGCAGGAGAGGTGACTGTAGGAGACGATATTGAGAGAATTAGGTCAATACGAAATAGATTGACTGCGCACGTGAGTTCAGCCTCCATCTCTCAGACAGAATTCGATGACACCTGGTCAATGATGTCAGATATCTGCCAAAGATTGGAAACCTTCACTGGGAAAAAATATCTCAATGATCTTAATTCCATTGAAAAACTGACCTTAAGAAGAGAGGATGAGGATGCTATTATAAAAAATGTCAAAATGCAGAAAATTTGGGAAAAAATCAAATCAAATGTGCTCGAATTTGAAACAATGTTCAAGCCTAAAGAAGGTGCTACAAATTAGAAGCTCATAGAATGCTGTGTAGATGACAAACGTACCATGTGAAACTTGATTTGGAATTCATAGATAATTTGCAGGATTTTGATATTTGGAATTAAGATTTGTCATAACTGAGTTTAAGACAAGGAATGACACTGCTTTAGGTTTAAAACACTGCGTAACAATATCAGGTTTTAATCTTCGATAAATTTTATCTTTTATCAGTTAATATTTTTTTAACTTTGTAGAATTAACGAATATCATTTGAAATCGGACATCTGGTATTTACAGAATAATTTGTCATTTTTTTCCCTGTGTCAAGGAGGACAACCTGATGGTTTGTTTGGAGTTCGAAAAAGAGTAGGCTCATTGGGGGCTGCCAGAGAAAGTATAATTTTTCAGAATCCGATTATTAGGGCCCCGCAAGGATTTGCGGGTGCCAAATAGTAAACACTCTGTCTGTCCATCTGTCATTCTTCGGCTCACAAATTTTCTGTTTTTTTTCCTAATAACTTTTTCAATAGTTGCCCAGTTAAGATCAAATTTGGTATGATAGTTTAATAGGCATAAAGACATGTTTTGGTGCTAAGTTTGTTTCTCTATGTCCCCTGGTTTGGAGAATAGGGTGGTGGGGTAGATTCCTTACTTTATATTAGAATACATTGGCAAAGAGAGATTGTACTGCTGAAATGTTCCCATTGTAAACTGGAATGCTGCTATGAGTCCCTTGTGATTAAATAGCTTTCCTCCTGAAGAAAATTCAAAGCATTATTTTAATTTGTCACATTGACCGCCTCTGTCTGCAAATGAAGTTTCTTATGAAGTTTAGTGTAAACCTATAGGGTTTAGCACAGACATATTGTTTGAACATTTTAAACTTAGACAATATTAATATCATAATCATTTTTAGTTATTAGCAGTGAAGGTAAAATGATATAAAAGTTTATTAAATCAGAATGTATATTATTAGTGACGCAAATTCGGTGACTTTATAATTGGAAAGAGGACTTTATTTTGTAAACAATTATTATCTTGTCAAAACAAATTGGATTTTGGTGTTGTTCAAATGTACTATAATTTGTTAGATCATTTTGTAATGGAATTGATCCGAATAGACCAATCAAGCCCATCGATAGTAAGTAATAAAATTTGAACGGAAATACAATGGTATCATTAAGAGTTTTGACTAAGAACAATAAAATTGGGAACTTTGAAGTAAGTAAGTAAAAGAGCTTAAGGCTAGAACTCCTGTGGTGCAGAGATGAGGACTGAGCCCATAAATATTAGTAACATGTATTTATCCATATTCGAGGGTGGTGCCATGTTGGGGTTCATAGGTCAACGGACAGACCTACGGACAAAGCGTAGGTGGTTAGTGATGGTGAATTAGCCAATGAAATGCATTTTTATATCCGGGACCATGGATACCCACTGAGCACAAAATACCCTGTTTTATTCAGAAAAGAGTATTCCCGGTTTTGTTCTCGAACTATCACACTTCTTTGGCTTTTTATTATTCTGGGAATCATTCTTTTGGACTTTTATTTATTTAATATTTGGAGTTCAGTCTTAAATTCTTTTTATATTGGACGGATCCTTTGAACAGTTGTATAAGAAGTGTATTGGTCTATTCTGAACATATTTCAGATTAATTCTAAAAACTATACGATCACGAAGAAAATTATAAATTGGATTTCTTTAATAAACTTTTGAAAACGCAGACAAGTTTTCGTCATTGGCTTACATCGTACAAGTCAATTTGGTGCTCGTTGACCAGGATTCTGCGAAGTTCGGAAGACTAGAGACGTAAAGGTGAGACAATTTCTCTTGATACTTAACTTTTTAGATGACCACAAAAAATTATTTGTTAATTTTATAAAATAAACATCAAAATTCAAAATTGAAAAATTTTTAAAATGGCAAAGGCGCCAACACATCGAGAACAGCTTGATAAAGCTTTGGACGAATTATCACAGCGCATGGCAGAAACTGAAATGTTAAATTCAAAAAGTTTGGACGAAGAAAATAAAACACAAGAGAATTCAGGGTACTTTCCTTATGGGGGCAAACAGAATGAAAATGAAGATGATGAGGATAGAAATATAAAACAATGGATGAATTCAATTTTGAACCAGGTTAAATCATTAACCGCGGCTATATCGGTGCCCATTAATCAGGTCATTACCTATTTTGAGGGGGATCCTGTAAAATTCAAGCAATGGATTAAAGATATAGAGAAGTACGCCAAAATGTCGAACATGGCAAGTGAAGATATTCCGAAAATCGCGTATGTAACATGTAAAGGGTCTGTGGGGGACTTTGTTAAGAGATACTTGGCAGAAATTGAAGTTTCGGGTGAATTACCTAGTTGGAATGATTTAAAACATCTTTTAAAAAGTCGATTTGCCGAAATTACTGACCCTCAACACGCATTGGCAATTATGAGAAAAATGAGACAAACTTCCAGTGAGAGTGTGCAAGTATTTGCCGAAAGGCTTTTACAGGTAGCAGAAGATGCATATTCACCAGAAAATTTGGAAAATCAAATAGTTCAAAATCAGTTGGTTGACATATTTTGTGATGGTTTGTTGTTTGATTTTGTCAGAATGAAATTGTTAAGGGGAAATCCTAAAACTTTGGAAAACGCGGTTCAAATGGCAATGCATGAACAAAATTTGCGCAAACGGTTGGCATTAAGGACAAGTGACACACTTTATGAATCCTCTTTCCATGAGCCTTTGATAAATAAACCAATTTCAAATTTGTTTGAAGATACAAATTTTCCAAAAGTCCCGTCTCGCGAAATTGAGCCCATGGAAGTAGATCACTTTCGCAATCAGCGTTGTCACAGGTGTGGTAAGGTAGGGCACAGGGCACAATTCTGTCATGCACGAGTAAGTACAAACAGAAAAAATATTGGAAATCAAAGAAATAGAACACGCGTAAATGAAGTTTCAAAAACAGCAAACAAAGGGGATTACAATTTGCAGTGTTGGAATTGTGAAAATTATGGTCATATTAGCAGATATTGTCCTCAGAGATATTCTGGCCGTTTTAATAGGTCGTTCAGGCGCACGCCCACCTATTACTCTTCAAAAAGAAACCCGGGCTATCAGGAAAACTAAGACACTCTCTTCATGTTGAAGCCGATGGAGAGGGAAATAAAAATTGTGGTAGAAAAAATGTATATAAGATTTGTTTAACTGGAAATCCAAGTTCTTGTATTATGAAATTGGGGAAAGTGAGATATAGAGCATTAGTAGACACCGGGGCTGAGGTGTCACTTATTAGTAGAAAAATGTATAATTATCTATTGTCCAAACCAACTTTAAATAGGAAAGAAAAACCATATTTACAAGCTGCAAATGGTGAATCACTCTCGGTGATAGGTAGAGTAGACTTAGCATTTTCTATGAATGGGTTACGCATGAATCATAAATTCTATGTCACCGAGGGACTCAATCGTTGTGTCATTTTAGGACGCGATTGGTTAAAAGCAAATGGGGTCAGAATGTATTTTGATTTAGGGTGTTTGAGAGTCGGAAAAACATATGTAAAATTAGAAGAAGATCTCCATATATCATCTTTGGTGAGAATAAATAAGAAGGTTTTAATAAAACCGCAAACGGCAGTTGTGTGTTATGGAAAATTAAACTCCGCCTTTCCGAGAAAATATGGAGGGTTGATAGAGATTAAAAATTTACACGATTGTCTAAATGAGGAACCCGGTTTAATTTTAAAAGAATCAGTGGGTGAAATAAGAAACACGCGCAAGGTGCCAATTATGATCATAAATCAGTCTAACCGCGCGTATCAATTGAAGCCCGGAAGCGCTGTAGGTACAGTTCGATCTGTTAACAAGAGCGAGATAAATGCAATTAAAACAGCGGGGGAGATAATAAACAACAGTCTAGATTTAAGCGAAGTAGATGCGCCCGAGAAATATAAATTCTATACGACGCAAATTGTACAAAGAAATAAAGATTTGTTTGCTAAAAAGGATAGCGAGTTAGGGCACACTAAAACTGTAACAATGAAAATAGAAACTAGTGACCACCCCCCAATTAAAAACAGACCTTACAGAACTCCGCTTAACAAGAGACAAATCATTGATAAGGCTATCGATGAAATGCTTGATGCAAAGATCATACAAAGATCACAATCGCCTTGGTCTTTTCCTTTGGTAGTAGTTGGAAAGAAAGACGGAACACAAAGAATGTGTGTTGATTTTCGGTCATTAAATAAAATCGTAAGACCAGCATCCTATCCACTTCCGCTAATAGATGATATCCTAAGTTTATTGGATAAATCTAAACATTTTACTACATTAGATCTTAAAAGCGGATATTGGCAAGTTCAATTAGATGAAGGAAGTAAAGAGAAAACTGCATTTGCTTGTCATAAAGGTTTATTTCATTTTAACAGAATGCCTTTTGGTTTAAGTAATGCGCCCGCAGTATTTCAAGAACTTATGAATATTGTTCTACAAGGATGCGAAAAATTTGCCACTGCCTATCTCGACGATGTTCTTATTTTTTCGAAAACACCCGAAGAACATCAAGCCCATATAGAG